CATAAGACCAGTTGGATTGACCCCAACTAGTCATTTCAGCAATACCTGAGTTCACATTGCAGCTCTGATACTTTCTCATGGTGTAGCACTAACTCAACTAACATCTCTGAGCCTCAGTTTCCCAGACTGCAAATAACCATAATGGTATCTCTTCCAGAGGGCTGTGGAAGCACCAAATGAGACCATGGCTATAGAACAGTAGACAAAATTATTGTGTGTGTGTGTGTGTGTGTGTGTGTGTGTGTATACGCACACACACACATTCTCTAAAGGCTTTTATTTTTCTAGGAATTCCTGATGTCTAAAAATATGTTAGTTTTGCAGAACAACAGTATATTAAGCAATCAGACATTTTGAAATTTAAAACCTTCAGTTCTTTGACTTTAAACCACACATTCATGTAGTCTATTTTAAAGATGTGAATATCCATGTAATAGAGTGACATTTCCTGGGTCCTTATCAAGTGCCAAGTGTCATGCTTAGTACCTTCATATTTACTCCCCCCCCATACACACACCTTTGTGCAGTGATGCCATCATCACCATTTACAGATGAAGTCATTCCCCAGTTGTATACTAGTAAAGGGAAGATCTGGGACTCTAGTCTCAATCTTTCAGTTCCCAAAGTCTCCTCTTCTCTCTCTGTGCCCTCTGAATCCAGCTTCTGGCATGCCTACCTCCTAGGTCTGGGGTGCTTGCTACTAACTGATGTGATTACCCTCATTGATCCCCAAGTCCTGATTTAAATAAAGCTTCTGTTTGATTATCAGACCCCTGTAGACAGATGCTTTAGGTTACCCTATGTCATGAGGATGCACAGAATCCTGAAATATAATTAGGAATGACAAGAAAATTTATATTGCAACCTCATCTATTAGTAATTCCATTTAACTTCTGGTCTCCAACTCCTCACACTTCCTTTATTTCCCCCTCTGTTGCAAACAAGAGCTCAGCAGGCTGCCCCACTCCTCCTAGCCTCTCAGTGCTAAGGAGCATTGAAGTGGCTGCCTGGTAGGCAGAGAGGAAGGGGCCTGGGTTGTCCTCAGAGTAGATGACGGTCTCATAAACCATACAACTCACTGGCTTTGGCACTAGCATGGCCCCYGAGCCAGGCTTGGCCCAGCCGGGGAGCAGACGAGGAAGGCTTTGTGCCCTGCTTCCCAAGTGGACATTCCAGGAAGGAGTCAGATGATCTGAGTTATGGAAACCAAATGGCCCTCCTTTGTTTAGAGAGAAAGAGGAGGGGAAAAGGAAAAAAAAAAAAAAAAAAGCCACTCATTTTTGTGGTAAAGTGAAAACAGGCTCCAAACCAAACAATCCCTCTCAGAGCAGAAAATGCCAGCTCCTCAGAGCAGTCCACAAATCTTGGAGGCTRACAGACTGCTGAGAGGAGGTATCAGAGCTGTCCTGCAGCTGTGACCAGAGCTCTTGGTCCTCCCGGCAAGGTGTTCCTCTGCCTTACTCCAGAAACATTTGGACTCCCAGGCAGGAAAAGAGGGAGAGAGTAAGAAATACCTACTTATGTAGGCCATGCTCCTCCTCCTCCTCCTTTCCAATTGGGATGAGGGAAGGAGACAGGAGGTATCCAGCCCAGAAGTGAGCTAAGACACTAGCAGAGGCAGGAACTTGGGCCTGCAGCCCCTGCATTCACCCTGGCTCTCCCCCTGCCATGTGCCACCTCAGACACCCTCGTCAGCGTGACCCAGCTCTTCCCACAGAATGCAGCCCAGAGTCACGAGGCCTCCTGTGGCTCTTCTGTGGCTGCCCGAGGCACTGTGGGCTGGCTCTGTGGGCAGGAAGCTGCACTCCCAGGTATTGCTGGGCATGTGCAACAGGATAAGCTATGGCCACGAGGAAATAAATATAGGTTCTGCTCAGCGATGCCTGTCCCCACTTTGATTTGTTCTCTAATGCAAATCTTTCCTGGAACGGAGAGTCTTTTAGGGAGGAAGKAATAATGCAGAAGAATTCGATTGTCGTCCTGGTTTTGCCTCCAACTTGCCATGTAACCAGAAATCACAGTTGTCTCCCTGAGCCTCCATTTTACATCTGAAAAATGAGCCTGGTGATCCCTGCCCGCCTTAGCTCAGGAGTTTATCAGGTGGAGAGACTGGGTGATCATGGCTGTCATCCAGGGCGGCAGAACAGCCTATCAGATAAGCTTGTGGACTGTAGCCTGCCTGCCTGGAGGCAGATTTAGGTGCCCACATGMAGCTCTGAGCAAGCTGCTTAATCTGTGTGTTCTCACCTTTAAAATAAAGGGAGCAGTACCCCTCTCTAGCACTGCTAGAAGGTTAGATTTGACTAAGTGATGCATGTGAAGCATTTAGAAAGCACCCACACGTGGCATGCCCCAGGTGAGCCCAGCTGTCATTGTCATCATAGCCAGAAAAAAACAATAATGCCAGGTTCAGGCACTGCATGACCCCTACTGTCATCATCAGCTTCACAATTTTATACAACACACCCTCCCCATTCCAGTACTTCCACAAGTCTGCCAACAGTTGATTCTCAATATGTTGGAAAACCTCCAACAGTACCCCTGGTGCTTTTAGGGAAAAAAAAAATCCCAGAAAGTCCCACCATGTCCCACCCAGCCTTGGTCATCTAAACCCACTTCCCTTTCTAGTCTCATTTTGAGCCATTGTGTGTCTCTATCAAATTCAAGTCTCATTGGCCTTTTACCTTAAAAGGTCTGGATTCCTTCCTGCCYCAGGGCTTCTGCAGTGCCACCTCCCCACCTGAATTTCAGGTTTCCGTTTAAATAGCCTTTCCTCAGGGAAGCCTTTCCTGCTCAACCAGATGAGGATCAGCTCCCCTGCACCTGTGTGTGCTCATCCCGGTTATAATTAAATACGAATTTGTATGATTACTAGCCTGTCAGTTCTTGCAAGTCCTAATACAGTGCTTGGAACATATTAGACACATAAAGAACATGTGTGTGTATTTTTAATAAATATTTTTAAAAAATAAAAGAAATATGTTGAATGACTATCTCTCCTATGGCTCCTATAAAATTCATGAAATTCTTTTCTCAAGGCCCATATTTCTAGCACATCATGGGACTTCAGCAAATATTTGTGGGACCTATGAATGAACAAATGACTTGGAAGAACCTCTACTTTTCACCATAGGAAGATTTCCCTGGACACCATCTCTTCCTCTTTCCAAGAGGGACGCAGTACTTTCATATGTCTTCTAACTCCTATACCAGGGGAGTCTGTCCCTAAATCCAGGCATGAAGGAACCAAGACTTACTAATCTCCACCCAGGCAAGCACGTGATGTCAAATGTATTCTGCAGTCGTGACTTGCACAGATTCTAGGAGACAACAATTTCACAGCAAAAAAAAAAAAAAAACAGTTGCAGAAAATTGTCCTTCAAAAATATATGTATCCCCTTTGTATCTTCTAGCTATGGGTAGATTAAAGAGACAAGTTTTATTCATCCTTGTTTCTTTGATGAGTCATACCACAGCTTTCTGTAAAGCTTGTGTAGCCAATGAACCCTGAGGCATGAAGGATTGACTGTTGTCAGCTGAGTCTACTAATTCCTCAGCCCTGCCTCTGTGCCCCAAGACACAATGAAGTTCTTAAGGAGTTTGAGATTAAAGGTACCTGAGTGTTTTTTGATCAACTATCAGAGCAAGAATTTCTCCACCTCTGGGTCTCCACTGTAATTCATCTTCCATAGCTATATCTGCTAAATTCTCCAAATTCGTCACTTGGATTTTGCTCAGAAATCCTCCAAGTTCTTTTCATATTTTATAGAACTGATCCCAGATCCCTCAGGCCAACTCAGGGAATTTGGACCAAACTTCTCTCTATACTATTGATACCACTAATTAGAGTTCTGCTCCCTCACAGGTTGAAGCATAACAGAGAAGCACGCCKAGGCAAGCATATAAAGCAGGGTTTATTTAAAAATGGGTAACATAGACTTCTCCCAGGAAGGAGAAGGGGACCATAGCTGGTATCCTGGTATCCCAAGAAGCAGCGAGGGTGTTTTGTCTTTTTATATGTCCAAGGCTTCCTTGGTTGTCCTGCTTTCTTACCCTTATCTCTCCTTCCTCCCTACATGACTAGACTCAGGAAATGCTTGGTGGGATGGCCAAAAGGTGGGAAACAGGTGGGCTGAAGGGGGAAGGGCAGGATGGAGCACCCCTGACACATTAATCAACAACCTTATAGGTCCCTGTAGGGAGGGGCAGGTTACCTTGGCAACAGGTTGGTGCTGGAGCAGGTTTTGATAAGGGTGAAGGAAGGGCTCTGAAGGAATTATCATTTCAGTCCCCCAGGGAGCAGTCTCCAACTTCCCGGACTCACTGAAATTGGCCTCCTTGATCCAACCTGACTGATTTTACCTATCTATACTGACTGCCTGTCTAATTCTGGCTTCACTATCTTTTCAAGTCCTACTTACTCCCCCTGCCCTGGGTCACACCTCATTTGCCCTGTCTTAGTTCATGATAGTATCCTTATTGTTTCTTACCCTTCTCTCCACTAGCAAAGCTCACAGTTTGGATTTTCCTGTGACCTTACCATGTCACCCATGTAAAAGGAGCTCCCTGTCTCCTGAAGCCCAATGATATTTTGGTCTCGCTACTTCTTGTACTGATCACACACTTTTTTCCATGAATATGGCTTCTTTCTCAAACTAGACCTAGACATGAAATACATTAGGAACAGTCCAGTGTTTCCTGTTTGCCCTCAGTTAGTTCTGAGGGGGAAATAAACTCAAATCATAACTTGTGAATTCTGTCTCTAGTTGCTCTGACTGACTCAACTGAATACAGTGGGGTCAGAAGACTAGTATGCAGGCGGGAGCCCTGGAGTTCACTGTTAATGGATTTTAGAGCGCAAGTAGAGGTTGTATTTCAGAAAGTGCTTGGTCTTCCTCATGCCTCCCTGGGTTTGGGGTCAATGATCTCTAGAAGTTAATAGATTTGAAATTGTAAGCTTGTCCACTTCTTTTAACCCGCTCACTTCCTTCTTTTTACAGATGAGAAACCCTTCACTGTGGAAGATACTTACTTGCTGTGTCCAGCGCCTGTCTTAAAAGAAGTTGGCATGTAAGTTTTTGCCAGCAATGATCTCTCAGACAGGGAGGAGAAGGGAGGTGGACCAGACAAAGGGAAAAGAAAATTTCTTTCTCCATTATCATGATGGAAACTTTCTCTAGATTTCCCGCAGTAAWAATGGCGCCAATGGCTAAAGAGAGCCAGGCACTAAGATCATTGTTTTACAGAGTATCTCTCTTCATCCTCCCCAGTTCTCCATAAACAGATGTTCCCATTATACAGGTGTGCAGACTGTGGCTTAGAGAATTTGAGTAACTTGCTCAAGTTCACACAATAGTCAGAGGAAGAGCCTAGGCTCAATTCCAGGTCTTTCTGACTGAATCACAGCTATCTTTCTAGAAAGTTCGAACATGTATTTCCCCACCCTATCATCCTGATCTTCCTGCTTGATGGTTATTATCTCCTCCTGAGACATAAGGGGCTCGACTGGTTCCTGACAAACTGAGACCCCAGACTTTTCACTGTCACCCTTAGTGCCTCTTCCTTACTCCTCTGCAGAGCATTGGGTGCTCACCCAGACAGCTCCCTGAACTCATTTATGGGGGAAATATCATGAAAGTGTGACCAAAAGCCTCTGCAGAAGAAAGAGAATTAGCACCCGAGCAAGAGACGAATTAGGTGGGGAAACAGTGTYGGTGCAGAGGACAGAAAAGAGTCTTTCCAAAATTGTATCGATGACAGCCTGTTGATAAGATATGGCTTTAAGGAAAAAAAAAAGTGGAAGTTGTTCTTCTGAATTCTACTTTTAATCACTTAATCTTATTGTAAACCCTTCTATTCTGGTTGTCTGGCATCAACCTATGATATCACGGATTTCACAAACTAGCTCAGGGTCCTCGCTGCAAAATGTGAGCTCATGTTTGAGTTCTCACAGAAGGGAGGAGGACACAGGCAAATTAGTTTCTCTACTGTTTAACTCTGTGCCCCTGCAGGATGGTAACAAAGCACCCCTATCAAATTCTTAGAGTCCAGATAACGACAGCAGAACATCTAGCCCGTTTATCTCCTTTGACGGGATCACTTTTTAATAATACTTCGTCCTATTACAATGTGACAAGTAGGTTCAACAGAAGCAGGCTTTTCTCATTCAGTGCAACTCACCACAATATGACGCCTCAATGCCTCACCTTGGGATGCTAGCCAAGCTTATCCTGACACCATTCTAGATTGTTACAGGTGGATGGGTCAGAGAGACTATCCTCCACATTTCATAAGGAGAAGTCTCAGGCCCTTTAGGGAAGAGCCTACAGGGAGTTAGAAGCAGAAGCCAAAGGAGACCTGTGTATCTGGCTCTCCACCCACTGTTCATCTCGGTCTGTTTCCCCTGTTATTTCAGGAAAGCCGCCCTGCAGGTCAGCATGAACGATGGCCTCTCTTTCATCTCCAGCTCAGTCATCATCACCACCACGCACTGTGTAAGTCAGAACCTCTCCCTTTACGAAAGGGTTCATTATTATCATCGCCAGCATTTCTCAAACACCAATGTCCACATGTGTCCCTGGAAAGTTTTCTGGTTCTTTTTTTTTCTGTTCGTGGAGCTGTGATCCTGGCACTGTGAGGCCAGCCATGGGTTGGATCAGGGAGTGCAATGCTCTGGAATGTGCCAGGAAGCCTGTGTTGGGTCCTTGGGTTCCGCATTTCTGGTGTGGAGGGAAAGCCCGGAATGCTCTGGCCTGGCCAGGGGGTGAGAAGCACCAAGTCGGAGCAGTAGTGAGGGCCACTGCTTGCATAGAGCACTCTTAAGAGAAAATGAGCAGAAAGGATTGGACAACATATTCAGAAAACACGTCTTAGGGAGCTTTTTTTCTTAAGGGAAACAGGAAAATGGGCACTGGCAGGAGGAAGTTTATAGAAGACTTTGTATTTAGGACAGGACAAATTGAGAGTTGTTTATATGATTGTGTAAATAATCCAGAAGAAAATGGAAAACTCATGGGGCAGGAGACGGGGAAAAGGGACCCCTGCATTAGGAATGAAGAGACAGGAGTGGGAACTACTTTTTCTCTACCACTGTCTCAGATAGCACTTCTCTGGATCCTTCATGTCAGGTAGTTTTCATTTCTGGCTACAARTAAAATCACCTGGAAAACTTTTTTAGGGAAAATAATGCTGTCGACCTCATGCYAGACTGATGGAGCCAAAATCTCTGGCGTGAGCCCTAGCTTTGGAGGTTTCAGGCCTCCTTGAGGAGGTGGGATGCAGCCTTGGCTGGGAAYCCTTCAGCCTCCGTAGTTGCTCCCGTCCATGGCCACTGTCACAGGGCTCTGCCTATCRGGGACAGCCAGGGCTTAGCTCATGTAAAGAATTTAGCCTCTAAAATGAGCATTTCCACATCAACCTTTGTCTGAATATTCAGTTTCTTTAACCAAATTCACTTTCTCCATTAGATCATTAAAGCAATTGACTGATGGTMAGCTCAGGTAGTTGCACTGGTTACCACCTTGTTGCCTTTGGAAGACATCTTGGTAAAACCCCGCCATATGATATAAAAATGAGTTATGTCATAAACAAAGAGGAAGCCAGGCCTCATAATGGAAGACACTTACTTCTTCCTAATYCCCTCTATTCTCCTTTTTCATCCTGTATTAGTGCCAAACCTATTTTCCTGGAAGCCCAGAAAGTCAGTAAAATGGATAGAGATGATGAAAAAGTTTAACTTGATCAAAGCAAGAAACTAAGATTGTCACAAAGAAGTGTCACCACTGAGAAATGTCCATGTCTCGGGCATCTGGTCAACCCTCAAAACTGACTACCTGAACAATACTCCACCAAATTTGAAAACTGTATGCAGAAGCAGTGAAATTTCATCAAGTGTACCCTACCTGAATCTTTTGGAAATTGACTCTTTTGGAACCTGAAAACCTGCAGGAAATGATTAAAATACCCCAAATCCAATAACTCCATTCCAGATTCCTCCCAGCTTTTGAGTGATCCAACAATATGTGCCTGTATTTCTCATTATGTCTGACCATACCACAGAGAAATAGCTACTGCCCTTGAGACCACAAGAGCAGGGCAAGAGGAAAGCAGGGACATCCTAGGACTAAGTTCTGGTATTACAAATATAAGGCTACAAATTTAAATATGGGTCTCTAAGTAAAGAAGAAAAGGTGCCCTTGCTAATGTACTACAAAATTATAAGAATTCCTAATAAGATCCCACACTATATTTTCCCAACTGACTCTAGCCTCTGTTTACATCTTATAATACCCTCATCTGATTTCATATCAGTAAGTTTTCTGTTCAGTTGACCCTTGATTAAGACTACCTTATATAGTTTGCATCATTTCCTTTTCTGTATTATTCTATAACAAAATTATACCCCCCTAAGATTTGAGGTCCACATCCATTTATTCATTGATTCAACAAATACTCATTGATCACAATGGTCTAGGCACCCTCCTGGGTGCTTGGGATACATCAGAGAACACAACAGACAGAAATCTCGGTTATAGAGAGAGGTTGGACAGAGAATAGTAAACATGACAAAGAAATTACATACCAATGTTAAAAGTTAACACATGCTAACAAAAAATAGAGTAAGAGGGTTTTTGTATTACTCAGATGGCCAAGACATGGACATTTCTCAGTGGTGATACTTCTCACCACAGAAGGTTTCATGAGTGTGTTTCAGTGTCAATAAACTAGTGGATACAATAAGGTGTCATTTCAGTAGATACCTGGGTAGCAAGGAAATTAACCATGAAGCTATAGGAGAGTGGAACATTTTAAATCAAGAGACATATTGCTAAGACCCTGAGGCCAGAGAGCCCTGGTGTTCAAGGAAGAACAAGAGACCCAGAGTTGTCCCTGGCAGAGAGTGAGTGAGAACAGCAGCAGGCAATGAGGTAACAGGGTAGAGGACAGGGCTTTGTTAGGACTTGGCCTTTCAAGCAGAGGAGCCTCAAGTTCTAACATACATTTGGATCACCCCAGCTGCTGGAATAGCCTGTGGACACAGGAGACAGGAATGGAAGCCATGTGACCAGTTAGGAGAGTCCTGGCAATATGCCAGGCTAAAGACAGAGGTGGCTTAAATCAGGAGGGGTCAGTGGGTTCGGAGAGAAGTGGTCAGAGTGACATATATTTTTAAAGTAGAGCTAATGGATTTCTGGAAGCCATGGATACGGCTGAGAGGACAGGAATCAAAGATGGCCCCAAGGGTTGGGTTTCAGTAACTTCAAGAATAGGGTTGTTAACAACTGACAGATAGGAGGAAGACTAAAAGAGAAGATCTGGGGTGAGGAGGGAAATTGGGGAATCTGTTTTTGCTGTTTACTGGTTGTGTGACCTTGGCCAAGTTATTCAGCTCCTCTGTGCTTCCGTTTACTGATGGTTAGAACTAAGATATGTATGTGGTGGTGCACGCCTGTAATTCCAGTGGCTTGGGAAGCTGAGGCAAGAGGATCACAAGTTTAAAGCCAGCCTCAGCAAATTAGTGAGGCCCTCAGGTACTTAGCAAGACCCTGTCTCAAAAAAGATAGTAATAGTTTATATCTCCTACCATACTGTGAACATTAAATGAAACTATACATGTAGCTATGGGATAAGGCTTGGCAGGTATGAAGTGTCCAATAAATGTCAGCTATTTTATAGTGGAGCCTTAATCAAAAATTTTGATGTAACTGGAGATTCCTCTCAGAGAGTTGGCTCCTTGATTCAGAAATCTGTAATAGCAAAGGGGCTCTTCTGAGACAAGATGCATCCTTGGGAGTACATATTTGTCATTCAATCCAGCTCATGTGATGGGAGGGGGAGCAGACCAGATGGCCAAAATCACCCAGGAAAAGAAACTTTCATTCAAACATATAACCGCAGCCCCTAGGTAGGCCCTATGCAGACGCTCAAATGAAAGACTGAAACCATCACCGCGCAAAATTGAGAGGCAGGTGGAAGGTGTGGTCCCTCGGATGAAGTAAGGTCTTGGACCTGTGTTTGTTTGGAGGACACGGTTTTTAGATCAGAAATGATCCCCTGGGTCTGAGTAAAGGGTTAGTCTTGTCCGTGCCAGTTGCAGCCTGCCCAATCCATCACCTGAAACCTAAAATCATTTAAAATATGTAGTTGAGACTTTCTTCGCTTTCTTTGGTGCCGGTTTGGACAACTGCTTCACAAGTTTTCATGATCCACGGTGAATAACTATGGTCCCTGCCAGAAGCAGAAATTCCATGAAGTTTTCCGGGAAAGAGATTTTTCCATTCAAGAATTAAAAGATTCTTATGCAAATGGTAAACTTTGCTGTGTTTCCTGACTATAGGGAATGGTCAGACGTCCAGAGTCCTCTGTCACCAGCCCATTCAATGCACTCCATCTCCGTCATCTTAACTGGTCTCCCTCTTCCTCCCCAACCCCTAGCCATAGATCGAGAAAATCAATAATATGGTGCTGCTTGAAGGAAGTAAAACAATCCATCCTTTTAATTAAAAAGCAAGCAAATTTTAGTACCTTAACTTTTCATGAAGATTTTTCTTCTTTTAAATATTTTACAACTCTCTAACTTCTCACCCAAAGAATATAAAATCCAGGGAATCATCTCATAACTATTTCTTGAAAATATCTGGGACACTCCAGCGTCCCACTCACATCTTAGAAAACTGCTGTTGGATTGATGACTCCCACAGGCCTATAATAAAGAAGAGGATTGCATGAGTCAGGTATAAATGCTACAGGCTTTCAGAGGGGGCATGGAGCCAGGAAAAGGCATGGGGTCCTTAGAAAGGAGGTTATTCCTGAGTGGTGATTTGAAAAATGACCAGTATAGGTAAAGAGGTTGGAAGCTGAGCAAGGGCTAGATGTGTCGCTGGCATAGTTTTGTTTGTGGTTCCTCCCAGACTCCATTTCTTCTTTTCCTCTCATTTTGTATCAATTTCCCATGCCTTTTGACCGGGAGCTATTTCTTGAGTTGCCAGCTATTCCTCTCCGACAATATACATCCCATGTCCTTGATCTTGGTCACCCCCTATGTGATAATGAGACACAGTAGGTGCTTATTACGGCTAACTATGATCAGGATTTGATTTGTACTGGTTACCAGGTTGGAAAAAATATCACATTTTTTTTTAATAAAGCAAGGTAATCTAAAGAAAGACCCAATGTTCTAAAATCAATGCTAAATAAATGGAAAGCTATGTCTTTCCCCCCTAATTTATATGAAAAAGAGACTGGCTACAAACAGCAACAAGATTAATTAAGTTTGAGAATACCTATGTCATTGTTCAGAGAATTTCTTTTTTGGATGAAGGTAAAAACTCAATGAATTTGAAATGTTAAAACAAGAGACACTGTCATGAAGTCATTCTTCTTTAAGCCTGAGTAGTATTTCATTGTGTATATGTACCACATTTTCTTTATCCATTCATGTGTTGAAGGGCACCTAGGTTGGCTCCAAAGCTTAACTTTTGTGAGTTGAACTGCT